TGTGTGTCCTGTAATCCGAGGTGGTTTGCCCTCTGGCTGGCCCACAGAATTTGAATTAATGACTCACATTTATAAATGGGGAGATTCCACACCAAACCCCGTATTTCCAGCTTTTCTTGAAAACTCAGATCTGGTGACTGCAGCCCGCACTTCCCACTCTGCCATCCCAGGCTGAGCGAGGAGTGCCCGTCTCCAGAGACAGTGTGCCAGGGGGCCCTCATCCTGTCAAATGCTCTCCTGTCTCTCTCTTCCTACCTGGCTGCCCGTGCAGGCCACAGAGCGCGGTGCTGCAGGTGAACTCTGTTGCAGTGGGAAGGAGTTGGCAGCGGCTCCCTCGTGGCTGGCTGCTGGATTCGTGGGGACAGAGACATTCTTCTCAGAACAGTGCAGACACTTAGGAAAACAAGCACAAGACGGTCTTTTTTCCTTAATCACCCATCTCATGAAATCAAGCCCCAGTCCCTTGGAAGCCCACACCCTCCACACCCTCCAGACACTGAGAGAATGCATGCCAGCATGCCTGTGCCAGCGTGCCTGTGCCAGCACACCCAGGCCAGCAGACCTTTCTCTGTGACTGAAGACAGCCGGCACTTCATATCTTTGAAGGGTTTGTCTTTCTGGCAAGTGGACGGTACTTTAAAAACCAAAACATTCCTGAGATTCACTGAAAGCCACTAAACTGGCACCGTTCAGGCGGCAAGGGTTGGGGGCGGGGGAAGCCAAGAGTGTGAGAGCAGCCCCTCCTTCCAAAAATCAGACCGATCTTCTGAAGATGATGATCAGATCCAGGCTGAAAGCTCCTCTGCAAAGGAGCTGTGTCCTTCAGGGGACCCAGGCTGCAAAATGTAGCAAGGCCCAGAAGGGCATCCCTCAAACCTTCATGGGGTTCAGCTTTGGACATGCTGGCTCTGGTTTGTCCCCACTGCACTCTGCACAGAGCTCAGAAGGCCCTTTCCTTAGCCTGGCCATCTTTCAAGGCCAGTTCAATTGCTGCCTCCTCCAGGGATCCCTCCATGCTTCTCTGTGGAATGGGGGACCTTGCCTGCCTTGTGGTCACTCTTCCCCCAGTTTGTGCCTCTCTTGGAGCCTAATCACAGAAACCCTGTACATCCACAGCTGCCTCTCCCACTTGCGGGAAGTGGTTTGTGGGCCATGTGTGGGTGCTCACGATTCCCCTAATTCCTCAGGAAATGTGAGGAATTTCCTGTGAGGCCGGTACTCCCACCACCCCATGTTACAGATGGGGAAACTGAGGCTTAGTGAGGTGAGGGGACTTCCCCAAGACCACACACCAGCAAGTGGCAATGCGAGATTTGGACTGGGGCTCTATGGCCACAGGCTTGGGCTCCTTCTGCCAACCGAGAGCTCTGCCAGCCTGTGCCCCCTCCTTCTGGCCCCCGAAGCCTTTGCTTCCCTCAGGCCATCGTGCATAACCAGCCCCTTCAGAATGCGCTGCTGAACAGGCCCTGGGCAGTGTTTGTGAGCGCGTTTCTCATTTATTAAGGTCACAAAATCCCTGGCCCTGTTTAATGTCATCTTTGATGTTCAAGGGCGGCGTGGAAATCTCTGTTTTCATGTGACCCAATTTCTAGGCTTTCAAAATGCGGCTCCTCTCCTCCTCCCTCTCTGTGTTTTTGAAATCAGGTGAGCAGGGCTGCCTGGAAGCATTGACCACTTGCCCCGAGGTCTCCCTCCCCACCCCTCAGGCTCAGGCACGTGGGTGCAGTGCCACCTCTTGGGCCTTGCCAAGAGGACTCATGGGCGTAGACCACCTGTATGATCCTCCACACGTAGGGAAAGTGGGTCTTTTGTTCTTCCTCTACCATTGGCGTGAGCACCGCAGGCAGCTGTGCTGGACGGGACCTCCCTGCACCTGTCGTGTCTTCCTGTGATGCCGGCCAGGACATGGAACTTCCAGCCGGACCCCCTGTACTCCAGGACTATCATATTCCCAAGGATTCCTGTGAAAAATCACTTTTCCGTGTTTCCTTTCTGCCTTTTAAGACTCTGCTGGTTACAACTCTGCTTGTAACTAGTCACATGGTACAAATAATTGCTGAAATTTGGTCCCTGTTTTCTCAGCTGATCTGGGTGACCTGTGGGGGATCTTCTGGAGTATTTTCAGGGAGAGGGGGCAGAGGGAATCTCAAAGCTCTGTGCCTGTATCATTTCCCCGTGAAGGTATTTAACATTTGTCCACTGCTGGTGCAGAGTTATGCTAAGGATTTTGGAACTTCAGCGATGAGTGGTGCCCGGGTCTTCCCTTAGGATGCTGGCTGTGGGTGGAGGACAGTGTGTGCCAGCAGCCAGGCTGGCTTGTGGCTGGAATGTGGGTTACCTGGAGAGGGCCTGCTTTTTTTTTTTTTTTTTTTTGCTATTTAAAAAATTTGTTGTAAAATAGACATAACATAAACTTTACCATCTTAGCCGTTTTCAAGAGCAGAGTTCACTGGTATTAAGTGCGTTCTCATCGTGCAGCCATCACCACCCACCCACAGAACTCTTTCATCTTTCCAAACTGAAACTCTGCTGTCATTCAACACTCCCTCTCTATTTGCCACCTCCCCCTACCCCCAGCAGCCACCAGACTGCTTTCTCCTCTGTGCATTTGCCTACTTGAGGGACCTCCTATGGATGGAATTGTACGGTGTTTGACTTTCTGTGTCTGGCTTATTTCACTGAGCATAACATTCTCAAGGTTCACCCATGCAGTAGCCTGGTTCGAACATCCTTCCTTTTTAAGGCTGGATAATATTCCATGGTATACACGGACCACATTTTGCTTACTCATTCGTCTGGTATTCTCAAATGCCAAGACTCGGTGACTGCAGCCGTGCCCGAAACCTCCCTCTAATCAAAACACTTCCTAACCCCAACCTGTACCTAGGCTCTGACACTCCTGCATCAGGCAGTCCTCCAGGATAAGTTACCTGTTTAAAATGCAAAATATTACTTTGGGGGGAGTGGGTAACTGGCATCCTGGGGCCCCGCTGCCATTGTCTTTATGAGGGAGGGAGGTTGTGTTGTCCTAGAAGCTGGGTCTACGGCCGCATCCCGAGAGACCATCAGGTGCCACGCTCTGGGCTGGGGACTCGACGTTCATGGTTTGGTTACATTTAGCCCTTCCAAAGACCCTGGCATTTTTGCAGTGTTACCTATAAATTCCATGTGCGGAAACATGGGTTAATTTCCACTTTTTTTTTTTTTTTTTTGATAGAGAGTTTCGCTCTGTCACCAGGCTGAAGTGCAGTGGTGTGATCTTGGCTCACTGCAACCTCTGCCTCCCAGGTTCAAGCAATTCTCCCACCACAGCCTCCTGAGTAGCTGGGACTACAGGTGTGCGCCATCACGCCCAGCTAATTTTTGTATTTTTAGTAGAGACAAGGTATTACCATGTTGGCCAGGATGATATCAATCTCTTTGACCTCGTGAATCCGCCCGCCTCAGCCTCCCAAAGTGCTGGGATTACAAGTGTGAGCCTCCGCACCCGGCCTGGGTTATTTCCACTTTTGGGCTATTTTGAGTAGCGCAGCTATGGACACGGAGTAAAAGAGGGTCCGCTTTTTCAGAAGCTGAGTATCAGGACCTTTGCTGACATGAGAGGAGCTGGTATCCTGGGGCCCCGCTGCCATTGTCCTTATGAGGATGGAGGTTGTGTCATCCTGAAAGCTGGGTCCACAGGTGTGTCCTGAGAGCCCATTGCGTGCCATGCTCTGGGCTGGACGCTTGACATTTATGGTTACGTTCAGCCCTTCCAAAGGCCCTGGCATTTTTGCAGTATTACCTATAAATGCCACATGGAGAGATGTGCAGAGAGGTGAGTGGGACGTACCTGGGGTCTCACGGCCAGCACGGGTGGGGCCCCGCTGGCCTGCTGCTCCAGAGCCATCATGCCACACCACTTGCTGCTCCGTTGCCTGCCACTGTGGAGGCTGGGTGTCCAGAGCTGGAGGTGTTCAAGGTTTGAGGTGACTCTGGTGTTAAAAGAGGAAATACGGTTTTACTTCTGAACCCGTTTCATGGAGAAGGAGGTACAGCTCTGGGCACACTGGCCTGGGTACTTTTGCGGCATGTGATCAGGGACTGCTCCCCAGCGGCCCTCCACCAGGGCCATGAAAGCGGCCAGGGCCCTACCTCCACCCGGCACCATGGACGCATCTTGGGGCTGGAACCTGGAGTCCCACATGCAGTTGGAGCTGAGGCTGTGACTGTGGAAAAAGTGTGACATCACAGAAGCAAGGGTTTTGGTGCCTGGCGTCTGTGTGGGTGGGTGTTCCTCCCTGGTGGATACGGCTGAAAGGCCTGGAGGGTGTCCCTGGTGCAGGGCGATGAGGCATCGTTTCTGGTTCTGGGGTTGTCCCTAATCACTGGGCGTTCCAGACCCTGTAACTGTTCAGCACTCCCTTGAGACGGGAGGCCATGGTGTTTCTGACTTGGAGCCTCTGGCTCTCTTTATTAGATTCTGTTGCATGTTCCAGCAGTCCTGACCTGGATGTTCCATCATATTTCTGTCCCTGTGAACGTGGCCATCACCAGTGACCCCACTTTAAACTCCAGATTCACCTGTATGCATGACCGGAGGGGATTAGCATCTTGAGTCCATGGTTCAGGATGCAGCCCCCCAGCAGAGGAAGGGCAGTTGGTGGAACGCTCATGCCCCATCGCTGTGGTCCATGCTTTGTCTGCCTCAGCGGCCTTGGTCAGATCTGGAAACATCTGGAAGCTTTGGTGTCTTAGTTATGAGTTTCAAAGAGCAGTGAAAACAGACTGGCAGAGCTCAGCGAGACCTGGGAAATACTTGGGGTGGGGAGGAACCTCAGAATGTATTCTTGATTCAGAGCATTTTTCCCTCCGACTCTTTCTGGGCAACAGGCCTTTTAGGAATGTTTGTTAAATTCTGAAAAAACAGGAATTGATTTCTCTCTGCGTCCACAGCCAACATGTGAGGCCACGGCACTCCGTGTATACTAACCTGATTTTTCTTTCCTTTTGCTCAACAGTGAGTGACCTGCAGGAAGAAGGCAAGAATGCCATCAACTCACCGATGTCCCCCGCCCTGGCAGATGTTCACCCTGAAGACACCCAGCTCGGTACGGGGCGTTCCTCCGCTCCCTGCCCTGAGACAGTTGAGCTTCTGTGGCACTAAGTTGGTCTTGGGGAGGCCAATGAGGAGCCTGATAGATCTGGCCTCTTGATCAGATGCTGGGGGCATTTGGGAGTCTAAGTTCTTAGCTCAAGGTCATGTTTAGAAAAGTCCATTGGGAAAAGCAAGTCCTTCTTTGAGGGTTTCTGCCCCAGTCTTAAAACGTAAGTTTTATTATTCAGGTGGTGAAGCCAGCAGATCAGGAGAAGACTGAGTTGAAAAGATAGTTTGTTAAACTCATAGTTCTGAAAGGAGGTGTAGCAGGCCACTCAGGGCCACACCATGCCACACCTTGCCATGCCACGCCACGCCACGTCATGCCATGCCACACCATGCCACACCATGCCATACCACGCCACGCCATGCCATGCTATGCCACACCACACCATGCCACGCCATACCATGCCACACCGTGCCACACCACACCACGCCACGCCATACCACACCACACCACACCATACCACGCCATGGAAGGCCACATGGAAAGCACCAGTGTCAGGCAGAGGCAGAAGGAGCAGGGCCAATCCTTTATTTTATATTTTATGTGTGTATTTTTTGAGATAGAGTCCCACTCTGTCGCCCAAGCTGGAGTGCAGTGATATGATCACAGCTCATGGCAGCCTTGACCTTCCAGGTTCAAGTGATCCTCCTGCCTTAGCCTCCTGAGTAGCTGCGACTACAGGCGTGTGCCACCATGCCCACCTAACTTTTTTTTTTTTTTTTTTTTTTTTGAGGCGGAGTCTTGCTCTGTCACCCAGGCTGGAGTGCAGTGACCGGATCTCAGCTCACTGCAAGCTCCGCCTCCCGGGTTCACGCCATTCTCCTGCCTCAGCCTCCCGAGTAGCTGGGACTACAGGCGCCGCCACCTCGCCCGGCTAGTTTTTTTTTGTATTTTTAGTAGAGACGGGGTTTCACCGTGTTTGCCAGGATGGTCTCGATCTCCTGACCTCGTGATCCGCCCATCTCGGCCTCCCAAAGTGCTGGGATTACAGGCTTGAGCCACCGCGCCCGGCCTAACTTTTTAAATTTTTTGTAGAGATGGGGTCTTGCCATGTTGCTCAGGCTGGTCTCCAACTCCTGGGCTCAAGCAATCCTCCTGTCTCGGTTTCCCAAAGTGCAGGGACTATAGGTATGAGCCACTGTGTCCGGCCCCGATACCCTTACTGTGGTTTTCTCTGAAGCAATGGGCAAGGCTGGGTGAACGGGCCTAGGCCTGGCTTGTTGGAGTTATACCGGTGGGCTTTGGGGTGCAGGAGCTGTCCTGAGTCTTCTCAGGAAGAAGACTCTCCTTCTTCCACACCACGTGGCGTGGCGTGGTATGGCATGGCGTGGCATGTCCCCAGAGCCAGGAGAGATTAGGGTGAGGATATTGACTGGGAGTGTAGGAGCCCTGTGAGAGCCCAAGAAAAGAGATGGCTGGGGGCTCTGGGCTCTGGGGCTCAGGCTCTGAGCGGGTTTACATGTGAAAGGTGTGCTCAGAGAGGGTGGGTTACCATCTCTAGGAATTAGCTCGCCCTGGAGGTGCAGTCTCTCCAGTCAGCACGGCCCCAAGATGCCACACACCAGAAAATACAGAAAACAGGCCGGGCGCTGTGGCTCACGCCTGCAATCCCAGCACTTTGGAAGGCCACAGTGAGCGGATCACTTGAGGTCAGGAGTTTGAGATCAGCCTGGCCAACATGGCGAAACCGCGTCTCTCCTAAGAATATAAAAATTAGCCGGGTGTGGTTAGCCTGTAGTCCCAGCTACTCTGGAGGCTGAGGCAGGAGAGTCGCTTGAACCCGGGAGGGGGAGGTTGCAGTGAGCCGAGATCGCACCACTGCACTCCAACCTGGGTGACAGAGCAAGACAACTCAGTGAAAAAAAAGAAAAAAAGAAGTTGCAAAACATGATTAATATGCTTCCTCCCTTTGGGCCAGCCACAGCTGCCCGCAGCCTGGGCTTACAGGGTGGGCCGTGCCAAGTGGCCCAGGCCCCTGCGCTCACCGCCTGATGTAATGGGTAACAGCTAAGACACATTTTCCTTAAAGTGTGTTTTGGGATCCAGCTGATCTGGAAGGCGATTGTGGAACATTCCGCTTATTTCCAAACCCTGGTTCAAAGGGAAGTCCCAGTTCATCCCTTTTTTGTGGTTTCTGTGACAAGGCCAGGCCAGCAAGAGCTTATGGAGAAGAAATGCCAATGCAAGTTCAGCCGCCAGCCGACCCGAAGCCAGAGCTGATGATGCTACCTGAGGTCACACTGGGGTCCACTGGGCTTCCTCTCCCTCCAGTTAGAAGACAGCAGCCCCATCAGGCGCGGTGGCTCAGGCCTGTAATCTCAGCACTTTGGGAGGCCATGGCGGGTGGATCACCTGAGCTCAGGAGTTCGAGACCAGCCTGGCCAACATGGCAAAACCCTGTCTCTACTAAAAAATGCAAAAATTGGGTGTAGTGGCTCACGCCGGTAATCCCAGCACTTTGGGAGGCTGAGGCAGATGGATCACCTGAGCTCAGGAGTTCGAGACCAGACTGGCCAACATGGTAAAACCCTGTCTACTAAAAATACAAAAATTAGCCGAGTGTGGTGGCAAATGCCTAAAATCCCAGCTACTTGGGAGGCTAAGGCAGGAGAATTGCTTGAACCCAGGAGGCGGAGGTTGTAGTGAGCCGAGGTCCCCACCATTGCACTCCAGCCTGGGCAACAAGAGTGAAATTCCATCTCAAAAAATAAAATAAATAAATAATTAGCCAGGCTTGGTGGCACACACCTATAGTCCCAGCTACTCAGGAGGCTGAGGTGGGAGGATTGCCTGAGTCTGAAGAGGTTGAGGCTACAGTGAGCCAAGATCATATCACTGCACTCTAGCCTGGGCAACAGAGTTAGACCCTGTCTCAAAAAATAATAATAACTGAACTCACTCACTGAATATTTGCACAGCACCTGACTCTTTCTGAAGTCGTCTTTGTGTATTTCATATCCTTTGGGCTCATAGATGTCATCATTGTAGCGAATATTGGGGGTCCACTGTGAATGCTTCTGCTCCTGAGTCCCTTCAGTGACCCTGTGAGGTGGGCTGTATCATTATCCCCATTGTACAGATGGGGAAACTGAGGCACAGATCTACTATCAGAGATCACTAGTAAGTGTCAAAGTTTTGAACCCCGGGCGTTTTGCCCCCAGAGCTGGGCTGCTCCCCCTGCTCTAGACCCTCTCAGTGAAGATGGTGGCCCTCATCAGAGGTGAGCAGGACAGGTCTCCGTCCTTGGGCTCATTTTATTGCAGCTGATGGATGCTCTGCTGTGATGCACAAGGTGGGGAGGGCAGGGGCTTGGTTGCCACAAAACACTGGCACAGAGATACCATCCCCGCCCGGCCTCTGGGCGCTGCTTCTCCTCTGACTGAAGTGGAGAGAAGCCCGATCCAGGCCCACCCAGCCTGTGTGGACCCGGACCTGCTGAAGATTCTGAGCCCACGTCTGACCCCCTGGCACCCCCTGGGCTGGGCAGCACTTGCTGCGAGTTCCCTGTGGGGGCCACATGAGCTGGGCGGGCCCAAATCTTGCTTCTCAGTTCAGCGAGAGCTAGGTATGAGGACATGCTAGATAGGGCAATGCTTAGATTTTTAGTGTGGGTTGAAGGGGCTGTTCCCAGAAATGGCCTCTCTGAAGGCTGGGATTGTGTAGTGACCTGCTTGCTCTCCATCCTGCACCCCCTCCCATACACGTGTGGATGCACGGCCTGGTCCTCCTCCTTGCCCACCTGAGATAGGTGGTCCAGAGGGGGTCTCAGACGTGGGTCACACAGGCACACCAAGTCCTTTGGGACAGGAGAGCTTGGAAGATTTGGCGTTTGGGCTGAAGGATCTGAGCTGGGGAGCTGAGATCTGAAGGGTGAAGGAAACGGGTCAGGGAGACAGTGTCGGACAGCGGGAGCAGGTGCCACGGCTCAGGACAGGCGGCAGTGAGGCTTCAAGGAGGAAGGCCAGACGGGCTGGAGCAGATTGCACCAGGAGGGCAGGAAATGAGGCTGGAGAGGGGCCCTGGAGGCCGCATGGAGGACGCTGGCCTTGATCCCAGCAGGAGTGGGAGGCTGTGGAGGCCTTTGCAGAGACATCGTCAGGACTCCCGAGTACTCCCTGCACATTACCTGGAGTGTCCTTCTCAGGCATCAGATCTGTATGACTTCAAAAATAGTTTCTCCACGTTGTCAGTTTACACTCTGCTGCCGGGAAGCTGCATCACATCTGTATCAGCAGCAAAGTTTCACTCAAAGCCATTTTCTTTCTTTCTTTCGTATTTTATTTTATTTTTTTTTTATATATATATTTTAAAAAATAGAGACAGGGATTTCACTATGTAGCTCAGGTTGGTCTGGAACTCCTGGGCTCAAACCATCCTCCCTCCTCAGCCTCCCAAAGTGCTGGGATTACAGGCGTGAGCCACTATGCCCAGCTTCAAAGCTGTTTTCATTCTGACCGACACGGTCAGTGTCCCCAGCCCCATGGGAGCCTGTCTGGGCTCTGGGACCCTGGTCTCTACTGTGTCCTGGCCGTCTCCACTTATATGTCCTGGGGGGTACCTGGCTTCTGCCTGAAGCCTCTCTTGTGCCTTTTTTCCTCTTTAAGAGAGAGGCGTGGTGTGGAGCCTCCCGGTGAGTGGACCCTGGGCCTCACCCGCCCCATGCTCTGTGCAGGTCCCGGAGCTGGACAGTGTGGGCAGCCTGAGACCCCCTTGCCCTTCCCTGAGTGTGTTCAGAGATGCTTGGCGCCCGCTGGCTTCTATGTGGCGCTGGGCATTTCTGCTATGGAGCACGCCTGGCTTCTGTGGGTGCCTCCTCCACAGTCCCGCCTCTGCACCATCTCCACGGCACTGTCCTCCATGACGGGCTGGGCTAGCTGCCTGTGGGATCCAGGCTGAAACATGGAGGGAAAGCAAACAGGTAGAGAAATAGAAAGAGGATGAGGATGAGCACATTTCACTGTTAAACCTCATCCACCACCCCTTTTTTTTGCTATTTATTTCTCAGTATTTTTTCTGCATGTTATTTTCATACAACATTGCATATTGATTGTTTTCCACTGAATGTACCAAACATTTTCCATCTCATTATAACCATCCCAACTCTTCCTATGTATTTATAATTAGTGGCCACAGGGAACTACCTGGTGCCTGAAGCTGTCTCACATACTGGATCCCGGCTGGGGGATGCATCTCATGCCCTGTAAATGCCGCTCTTTCCTTATTTCTCCTGAAACGTGGAAATGGTTTGGACCGGCTGCTGGTGGAGTCTGGCAGGGGCGAGGTCAGGCAGAACAATGGAGTTTGACTTCATCCCCTTCCGGAAGAGGGGAAGGCGGGAGGAGGCCCCATCCACCTTCCAGAAGGCGGTTCCTCACAGTCACCCTCCCCTAGTGCTGGGTTCTCTGCTTCTCCATTTGTCAGAGATGAGTCGGCCTCCCCCGGCTCCCTATGTCCCTGCTACCCCCACAATCGCTGACCGTGACTTCCTTTTGTCCCTGGCAGAGGAGAACGAGGAGCGCACGATGATCGACCCCACGTCCAAGGAAGACCCCAAGTTCAAGGAACTGGTCAAGGTAAGAAGCTTGGTCTTGGTTGGAATCTTCCTCTTAGGGTGAGGCCTTGGCTTTGGGGTTCAGGGCTCTCGTGGACAAAGGGAGCTAAACCCGGGGCTCCTGAAAGGGACGTTGGTGCTGCGTGAGAAGGTGGGCAGACGTGTTGGCAGAAGAGGATGGCAGGGGGGATCCAGCCTGCAGTGCCGAGCGCCTCCCATGTGCCCTGCTGGGCTGGGGCTCTAGCAACCAGGCTTGTGAACTCTTGGCTGGATAGAGCCTGACAGGAGGGGATTTTAGGATTAGGAGTGAGTGCTGGCGAGAGCTAGTGTCGTACCTTACAGATGGAGTTGGAACTCTGTCTGGAGCCTGGTGGGGTCTAGATTCAGATTTAACCCTGAAAAGCAGGAGGGTGACCCCTCTGGCCACTCCTGCCGAGGAGCCATCTGATGTCGATGCCTGCGCTGAGTGGACGGTCAGTTTCCACCATGTCTAGAGGCGTGAATCCCAGCTGGGCGGGGAACCCGGCTGCCCCGCTCCCAGAGGTCAGGGAACAGTGAGGGAAGGGGCCCGTGGCGCTGGCCTTCTGGGGCAGCGGCTGTCCTTCTCCAGCGTGGCTCCTGCTTGCCGTGAGGCAGTGCTTGTGTGGGTCCAAGTACAGATTGCAGTTTTGGTTGCTCTAATCTAAACCATGGTAGGGCTTGAGAGGGAATCTCCTGAAGAGGAGAAGCTGTGGGCTCTGCCTGACCCTGGTGAACCCAGGGTGGGCTCTTGGGCAGACGGCTGTGGCAGACACAGACACTTGACTTCCACAGCCCACGGCCAGCTTGGGCACCCCGGGATTCTTGAAAATGCAGATGGTGACAGTGTCTGCCAGAAACAGACATTTTTCTATTAAAAGTGCTTTTTAAAAAGCTACTCCACCTTCACCACCGCAATGGACCTGACACTGGGCTGTACAGCTGCGTTTTCATGAGGGCTCATTCAGAATAAGTAAAATGGCTTGCAAGTTATATTCTTTTAAAATTTACGTTGAGGCCAGGCACAGTGGCTCATGCCTGTAATCCCAGCACTTTGGGAGGCCAAGGCGGGTGGATTACCTGAGGTGAGGAGTTCGAGACCAGCCTGGTCAACATGGTGAAACCCTGTCTCTACTAAAAATATAAAAAATATGCCGGGCATGGTGGCGGGCACCTGTAATCCCAGCTACTCTGGAGACTGAGGCAGGAGAATGGCTTGAACCTGAGAGGCAGAGGTTGCAGTGAGCTGACATCTTGCCACTGCCCTACAGCCTGGGCACCAAGAGCAAAACTCCGTCTCACAAAAAAACAAAATGAAACAAAACAAAAAACCAAAAATAAACCATTCCAAATGTCAGTTTTAGGGTCCACCCAAAGGTGTTGGCTCTTAATAAATTACTTAATTTGTTTTATTTTTTCCCTCTGAATACCCACTTTGTTATTTTGAACAGAAGAATGTCGACGAAGTTCATCCTTGATGGACAGTGAGAGAACCGATGGGGGTTTGTGTCAGCAACACCAACATGAGGTTCACACCAGGATCTCCCAAGATGGCCTGCGGCTTAGAGACAAGACAGACGTGGTTGCTTTTTGTTGTTGTTGCTGTTGTTTTGTGGTGGTGTTTTGAGATAGGGTCTTACTCTGTTACTCTATCACCTAGGCTGGAGTGCAGTGGCACGATCTCAGCTTATTGCAACCTCTGCCTCCCAGGCTAAAGTGAGTCTCCTGCCTCAGCCTCCCAAGTAGATGGGATTATACGCATGCACCACGACGCCCAGCTAATTTTTTGTATTTTTAGTAGAGAAAGGGCTTCACCATGTTGGCCAGGCTGGTCTCAAACTCCTGACCTCAAGTGAACTGCCTGCCGTGGCCTCCCAAAATGCTGGGATTACAGGCGTGAACCACTGTGCCCAGCCAGTTGTGGCTGTTTTTTGCTCCACCCCAAACCTGTGAGATGGCAGGGAGGAGGCTCTGGGAAGAGGAGGTGAGGGTTGGGGTCAACCTGTGGATTGGATGCTGATGTAGGTGGTCCCAGGTGCTCGCCTTGGGAGGAGATGGCCATTCTGGATGGTGCAGACAGAATACCTCCATCCACATTACCTGCGTGATTCTCTCTGCATTCCAGAGCATCCTTTGTGTGCTGTGGACTGTGATGATCTAATGCTAGTGGATTACATCTAAGTAGGCCTTAGTAGAGGCCACCTCCCAATGGTTCCTCGGAGGCATTCGGTCCTGAAGCAGACGTTGTTAGTGCAAAGCACGGACCGTATGCAGGCCTGAGCAGGTCAGGGAACAGACAGGTCTGGCCGACATTCTGACCCACTGGATATGGTGGTGTGGCCATTGCTTGTGGCCACATTGCAGTCTTGAATGTCCCTCTTGGAAACGGGGGACATTTCCAAGGACACCTGGCTGGCCCTCTCGTTTTCTCTTTCTCTGTTCTCTGTCATCTGCACTTTTTTTCCACTTGTCTTGATTGCCTGTCCTGTCTTCTCCTGTAGATACCCACTCTGACCTCTGCTGCCTTGGGACTGTCGCAGTATAAAATATTGTGAGCTGCCCTCTGCTCCTGTTTAAAAAAGTCCTTAGCTCTGACTAAGCCAGGCACTGAGAATGAGGCCAGTCATTCAGAAATTGTCTCTGAGCCTTGATTATACTCATGTATTTTACTGTTAAGGGGTGAAGGTCGGCTCTGGGGTCAGCTTCCTGGATTCAAATCCCAACTCAGATTAAAGTGGGAGGCTAATAGCACCAACCTGACAACCTCAAAGTGTCATTGTCAGGATAATGTTAGATCATACAGTTGATCACCCGTTAGCACTGTCAGGGCAGTGCCAGGAACATGAGTGTTAACAGGGCAGCCCGGGAGGGAGGTGAATGGACAGACGGGCAGTGCCGGTTTGGAAGTGGGTGCAGGAGCCTGGAAGACTTACCCGAAAGCCTTCTTTGCTGGTGTTTCTTCTTGTGTATTTTCTCTAACCTTCTCCAGCAGCGACCTGAATTTCTTATGGGTGAACGGTGACTGCTGCCCAGGCAACTAGAGGTTTATAGATGAGATACTTTAAATTTTTAGTGATTCTTAAAAGAGGGAGGGGCGGCAGGGCGCGGTGGCTCACGCCTGTAATCCCAGCACTTTGGGAGGCTGAGGCGGGCAGATCACGAGGTCAGGAGATCGAGACCATCCTGGCTAACACAGTGAAACCCCATCTCTACTAAAAATACAAAAAATTAGCCAGGCATGGTGGCAGGCACCTGTAGTCTCAGCTACTCGGAAGGCTGAGGCAGGAGAATGACGTAAACCCGGGAGGCCGAGCTTGCAGTGAGCGGAGATTGCACTGCTGCACTCCAGCCTGGGCGACAGAGCGAGACTCCGTCTCAAAAAAAAAAAAAGGCGGGGAGTGGCTATTCTTATGCTTTCCAGAATGAATAGACAAGGGAACCCTATACAGTTGCGGTATAAAGAGAAACCTAGACCTGGCCTTAGCCTCCGGGTCCTGATGCAGATTCCTAGCACGCAGCACCTAAAACCTTTGCGATTTCCTGAGTGATAGAAACGTCTTTTGTTTTTCATAATGAGACCTGGGTTTATGCTAATGAGGTGACTCAGGGTTGGGGCTGGCCCCAGAGTAACCAAGCACAGGATTAGAGGGGTGGGGCTGTCAGTCCTACCCACCCCCAGCCTCTGGGAGGGGTGGAGAGGGGCTGGAGAGTGAATCAAATCGCCAGTAGCCAATGATGTAATCAGTCGCCTACATAATGAATCCTCCACAAAACCCATCAACAGTGGGATTCAGAGAGCTTCAGAGCTGGGGAACACACATGGAGGTGCTGGGAGGGGGACACGCAGGGAGAGGGCATGGAAGCCCCTCCCCTCCCCAAAAACGCTGTCCCATGAAGCGTTTCCTATTAATTACGCTATCCCTGAGTTTTTTTTTTTTTTTTTGAGACGGAGTCTCACACTGTCGGCCAGGCTACAGTGCAGCGGTGCGATCTCAGTTCACTGCAACCTCTGCCTCCCAGGTTCAAGTGATTCTCCTGCCTCAGCCTCCCAAGTAGGTGGGATTACAGGTGCCTGCCACCACGCCCGGCTAGTTTTTTGTATTTTAGTAGAGATGGGGTTTCACCGTATTGCCCTGGATGGTTGCGAACTCCTGAGCTCAGGCAATCTGCCCGCCTCAGCCTCCCAAAATACTGGGATTACAGGCATGAGCCACCGCGCTGGGCCTGCTGTGCCTGAGTTCTAACCTTTATAGTAAGTTGGTAATCCTAAGTAAAATGCTTTTCTGAGCTCTGTGCATTCTGGCAAATCACTGAACCTGAGGTAAGGAGCCCTGATTTGTAATCAGTGGGAAGAGGAGCCTGGTAGCCCCATCTGCAGCTGGTGTCTGAAATGAAGTCCGTTTGGTGGGACTGAGCTCTTAGCCTGTGGGGTCAACTCCAGGTAGTTAGTGTTAGAATCAGACCGAATTGTAGGACACCCTGTTGGTATCAGATAAGCGGAGAGTTACTGTTGGAATGACATGTTAGATGTCAGGAAAAAACCACACAGAACTCCTTAAGCAGACTGGTTGAAAGCAGGCCGACTACATCTCATCTGGGGGTGTGTCTCCCCGCAAGAGCAGATTTCACATCTCATTCCCCGGCTGATTGGACAAGACCCTTCCTGGTCTTTAAGTTCTGTTTTCTTCCTCCCTTTGTCTCTGTGAAGAAAATCAGCTGCATGAAAACCATCCTCTGGGCAGAAATTAGTGCTGTTGGAGCCACACAGAGGTGCCCTCCTGTGCCCCCGGCCCCCACCAGGCCGCGTCTCCCACTGCCTGTTGAAATCAGCCCTCGTCCGACTCCTTTTGGAAGTAATTAAAACGTAACTGTCATAGCTCTGGGGGAGACAGGCTGCAGATCCTGATTATAATTCAGAAGGATCTAAAGGAAAAGTATTTTTTTTTTTTTAAATTCTGGTTAAAGCAAAATCTCATAAGACGTGCGTGATGGAGTGGTGTGCAC